GAAACCCCTTTAAAATCATTTTTCTAAAGAAAATGGTGATATCCAAATTCCCCCACTCCTTTGACAAAGGGAAAAGTCAGCCACATTTACAGTTTCAGAAGTTGGCAGATATGTGAAGGACAAAGATATGTGTTCATTTAATAGTAGGCATTTTTTCCTATAAAGGTCACTTTGGGAGTGTCAAGGGATAAATAATATGTATATCTATGTGGATGTATATCTCAGCTGTGTTATCAGGGATTGGATCCTTTCTTCTGAAATGTGAAATATTAAAGATTATTGATATAATGATTATTCTCATTTATACATACAGGAACTTACCCTAATTATCTGTGGTATATAGGATCAATGTATCTTATATACCATAAAATTTAACAGAGTTTGGGTTAATCAAATTTTGTTTTCCTATTCATGCAAGCATTTTGTATGAAGTGATGCTAACTTTTATTTCCACAAGAATACGTATTTAAGATTGCTAGCCCATTTTATGTTTATTCTTCATATTGCAGATGTTTTTGTGCTGGAATTCCCATCTGAACTTGTGTTTATTGTTATTATCATATAGACTGAAATGTATTCTTGCCAACTTCAGCACCTTTGAAGTGGTTAACAAAGGCTCTTGGATTTCCATTGCACTCATTATACCTGGCTTCAAAAACACCCAAATCTATTACATCCTTTTTCCATGTCAAGTGTTTAAGTGACTCCTTACAACATAAAAAAGATTTCTGTTTTTACTGTGTCATCTCTCAAACCGAGATCTTAAGAAATTTCTCCTATTGTCAAGAGATTATTAGAGCTTCTCTGTTGAACTAATGAACCTAAGTAAAAAGGTCATTCAATATCATCTATTTCTTAATTTGTCTATACAGTGGATGAGATATGCTCTCTCTTTTGATAGGCCTGTAATCAGTTTATTTCACTTCAGTTGATCATAAGTACGTCTTGCTCTCAATGTATTGGATTTCATTTCTGTAGGACATAGAGGTCATGTCGTGTCAGCAAGGTTAAGGGAGTTAAAATAAAACAGTTGTTATGTTGACTTTATATATACCACAATTTTCTTGCATATCTGAAAAGAGAGGAAATAGAAAGGTAGAGAAATGTGGGCAGGTTTACAACCGTGTTGTTATTGCATGTTTCCTGGAAATTTGAAGTTGTAAGCAATAAAGAATAATGTTTACATTCATTTATAAATTATTTTGGCTGTATGTCTCATATTTTCTTCCATGTGGATAACAAGTTTACAATGACTGCACCCTAGATTTGGATTCACAATGATCTTCCAGAAACACTAAGAATCACACAAAGTTCAGTGACTGCATGTTCACCCCATGAAAACAGTGATTCCAGAAAGAAAAAGATTGGTTATTGAATTACTGTTTACTTCCCAGAAAATATTTTGCTGATTACAGGTTGGTGACTGCTCCTGCACTTGATGCTTTCAGTCCTATAAAGAAATCAATTTAACTTTGTTCCTTTAAAGCAAGGGAAAAAAAATAACTTTGCAGAGGCATCCAAAGGGTAAAATCTTTGAATACAGGGTTTCAATTTTTTCTTTCATTTGATGAGGAGGAAAGGGAGTATAAGCAAAGTTATTATGAAAACAAACACAAAGTAGACAGTAGGAAAGTCGCTTGTATTGTTTTGCCATGAACCCTTCACATCCCAACTCCCCCAACACCACATGACCATAATAAGAAGAGAATACCACATGAACAGTACTTAAACATCTTAGTTTCACTTAAACCATGCACTCTACAACATGACCACTACCACTAGAATAGGAATACTACAAACACCTCAAGTTCACCACCACATCAGTATTAAACCACTCTACACCACCACCACCACAGCATGACAACCTCTATATCAGAGTACACCTTGAACATTTATAACTACAAACATCTTGTCATCATCAGTTGAACACATCAGTATTGAGCCACTTTTACTACCACTACCCTGGGCTGTCATAGTTCCCAAACTTTTCGGAAATGACTGCAGGAATGGATGTTTTATTTGGCAGAACATTGCAATGTTTCACATAGTTTAAGATTGACATTATTTATAAATCAGAACAGTGCTGCTCTACTACCTTCCAATTAATTTTGTGTAACAGGAATGGAGAAAATGTATGGCTGGACCAGGACCTCTGCATCACTAGTCAGGTGCTCTACCAACTGAGCTACTTAGGCCGATATCCATGGCCCAAACTATTACATTCCTCCCTCCTTAAATTGTCTTCACCCTCAAAGACACAACTCAAATTCTTATTAGCCCATGACAGGACTTTCACTTGCAAGTCCAGGGGTGGTCAACGGCACCCTGAATCTCCAGTCAGGTGCTCTACCAACTGAGCTATCTGGCCACTGGTGATTGAACCCATCTGACCGCCACATTTGTGAATTGTTTTCTAAATACATTTATTTCATACCCTGATAAACATATTTTTTTTATAATACCGGTACAGTTATTAGTTGTGAATTTATGTTTCAAACCTGACAGGTGACAAACTACCTTGACATATGCAAAACTTACAGCAATTTTGGAATGGAAGATAATATATGATATCTTAACTAACATTAAAAGAATATTTTTCTATTTAAATTTTGAATTTTTGGGGCATTGTTCTATTCACAAAATACCACAAAAATTGTACATCTGCAGAAAATACCTGTTAAACGGTATTTTGTGACCTTCGATCATTAGTTACCTGAGCTGTCATGCAGTGTCATAGGGTTATAATGAACAAGTAATAAAGTGATCTGTCTTGTTACTGTTAATACTTAAACCCTGCTATAACACAGCACTGAACGAATTTTATTGTAGGGTGTGGATGAACGTGCAGATTTGACATGTAGTGGGAATGAAAACCTTTTGTGAAAATTTTAAAATTTACCAGAATATTAAATTTTGTGGAGATACAAATTGCTGTGGGTTGTCAAATATTGTAATGTTTGTACCAATATGTGGATATATCTGAACTCTTCTAGTCCTAGTCTAGACAAGTCTCCTGGAATTCAGTCGGACATGTACTAGTAAATTCAGTTAAGCTTAAAAAATACCTACTCCTCACTCATTTATATGATTGACAGCTTTCTATTTCGTCCTTGTACTGGACTTGTCCAATTTGCACTTTACATTTTACAAGGCAGTAAGCCAATTTGGCAAATATTGATCTCACAACACACATATAAACCTGAATTTAAATTCATTAATTCCAGAGTGTGGGATAAGTATTTTGTTGAAGCATGTTTTATTTAGCTTTGAATTTTTGTAAACCCTTTTGTGTTGCAGATTTAAACTTTATAAATTGTCAGCTTTGTGGCTCTCATTCTTCCATTCAGGGTTTATTTCCTTATGTCAATGGAACTGACCCTTCAGGTCTCGGTAAATAGACCAGATATATGTAGGTTTATAATGATACCTACTCTTAAATATACATGTACCAGTAATTGTCTACTAGGATATGTATCTGATCCAGTAATAGAATTAGATGGTAGAATTAACCCAGGTTTATTACACATGATTATACCAGAAGAAAGCAGTTTTTATCATTAACTGCTCCCAGGCAATTGTAATTAAGGCTTTGCTTTATATGGAAATTGCAGATACCGGTAGTAGAAATTAGACCAATTAATAGAAAAAATCCTGTGTTTTTATTTCATTTTGATTTTCATTTCAATGTTTGACCCCCCCCCCCCCCCCCTCGATTGCCGTAGACAGGGTTTGCAAAAATTTGATTGTTACAAAAATATCTGGAATCAGTTATATATAAATTCTGTATAATACCTGCAGTGTTTACTTTTTACAACTTTTGCCATTCTAGCAGTTTTTTTAACTTCAACTTTTCTGAATTTGATTTATTATCTGTAGTAAAAAATTCTTTTGAATAATTCTTAAACTCATGTTCAGTGTTAATGAAGCCACATGCAATGGGTATCCTCAGTTTTGTACTGAAATAAAATAAGAAAAATATGCTAATGATGTATTAATATTCTTTTTCTGCAGTGATGTACAAATAATGACAATTTGACTCCTAAATATATCACAATCTTATATAGAATGATGTGTGTATACTCAATCTTAGAGAGCAGCATTAAGTAGCTCATTGTAGGGATCCAAAGTTTAACATATAATATACTAGTGTTGTTACAATAGTTGCTTCCCATAGAAAATAGTAGCTGAAGGCAGAAAGTTGGTGACCATTGATAGAAAATTTTTAACATTGATATTGGCTTAATATTCCTGAAATATTTTTTAAACCAAATCTTGATGAGGATACCGTAAACTTACAGAAATCAGCACTAGCTAATCAGTGTACTCAAAATTTTGCGCAATCTTCCTCTTCAACCAATTAGCGCAACCATGTATTAGCACATTTGAGTCTTGAATGTGACAAGTATGAGTTTAAATCATACATTAGTGGGTACATAATATAGTGGACATGAAACAGCTCGATGAGCCAATTTTTGATACTGCTAAAATAAGTCTAAAGTGTCTTTTATTCAGAATAAATATTACATGGATAACGTTATATTTAATTTAATGTAACCTTTACCAATTAGTTAATTGATTGTGTGTTGCAGATTCAATTTGATGATCAATAGTAGTAGGTCTGATTCTGCATCATTTATATAGTGTAATATTCATCGACTTAAAAAGTAAAAGAAATCCTTTGGCCTTGCAAGAATATCAAAGCTATGAATAGTTTTAAATTAAAAATTCTATTGAATCTTTTTTCCTTTTTTTTGCTTTGTTTTTATTAATTATGGCTTAATTAGATTGTACATATAATTAGACTGGAATCATAATTCTGAGTTCCATTTTTTTTTCTGAAGAAAATAAACACCTCTAATTATGATGATGAAAGAGTATTAATGTAACAAAGACCTTGATTTGCAAAATGTGGGAATGAATGTGTAAGAGAGAGAGAGAGAGAGAGAGTAGGGAATCTTGTATTTAAATGGTCTGTTTTACTTTCTTTGATTATGTTTTAGTCTGATGGATGCCTCACTTCTCCGAGTCCCTTGTCACCCAATGTACGTCGTAGCCTGGACGAGTTTCCCCTGGGTCGTCCGGGGAGTATCAGAAGGTTACAGCGGACGTTATCAGAGGATTCCAGAAGACGGAGGGAGAGTCTTCCCAGCACTCCCATCAGTGTCCCAGCCAATATCGGTAGTATAACCAGTCACTCAGGACTCGGACACAGTAAGTGGCCATCACTGTTAAGCTTTTAATGTTCAAAGTAAAGGTACAGTCCTGGGTTTTTCCCCTTGTTGAAGCAATTAAATTTTTCTTGATTACTCTAAATTCATTCTCTAGGTGTTCTTTATCTCGAGAAGTATTTTCCAAGTCCCATTGTGTAAAATCTTCTGTACTCTCAATACATATGAGATCACTGCATTCCAGTATACTTGACTGTCCACCTCAATTTTAATTGATAGAAAGAGAGTCAGAGAGAGAGAGAGAGAGAGAGCATGGGCGGATACAGGATTTGTGATTAGGGGGGGCATGGATAATTTCGTTTAGGCAGGGGGTCTGGGGGCCGCCTTAAGGCCCCCAATGGGTCCCGGGCGAAGCCCTGGTGGAGGCCCAGGGGGCGAAGCCCCCGGAAGCTCCTGGGTTTTCGTGTATTTTAAGAGTAAAACCAGGCACAATAATAGTGGTATTGGTTAGTTTATATGTACCAAAGTTTGGCATTATTAATACTAGTCATATATCATACTTTGAATAGAGGGGGCCCAGGGGGCGAAGCTCCTGGGTTTTCGTGTATTTTAAGAGTAAAACCAGGCACAAAAATAGTGGTATTGGTTAGTTATATACCACAGTATGGCATTATTAATATTAGTCATATCATACTTTGAAAATTTTAGGGGGGGCGTGCGCCCCCCACGCCCCCCCCTTAAATCCCGCAGTGGAGAGAGAGAGATAGAGAGAGAGAAAGGCATAAAATATTTAAAAAATAAAATAGATTTTTAATCTTCAGAATAAGATTTTTGACTTATTTTAGTAAGACAATAATGTTCTAATTCATGTTTCATGAAGTATGTAATAATTTCAATACATTAAGATGAAAGCCAGATTATTCTTTATTGATTTCAATAAATTATACAAAAAATAAGCAGCATAATATTTTCATAAATCTGTAAAATGCCCAATATGATAAAAAAAAATTGTGTCATATCTGAACCAATTGGACTAAACTCTGGATCCCTCAAACTAATGGTCCAGTAAACTTCAGGGTTTTGAGGGTCACCTTTTTTTATTTGATTAGGAACCTGTGTGTAATGAGAACTGTTAGAACAACTTGTCCTCAATTTTACCACACAACATTCTGCTTTTATTGTAAAATTGACCAATTCTCTCATAAACATGTACTGTAATAAGTCAGTAAATGAATCTTCTTTAGTTGCATGTAAACTTGTTTTCAAATGAAGGAACCTGATCTTACCTCTACATGATACCTGTAATGTTAAATGAAGGATTAGATCCCAGTTGTGTTTTAAATATTGACTACTCTGGCTGAAAAATTAATCTCACTAATTCCTCTCACCCTGGTCTATGGGTTTTCCCCTGAGATGCATTGATTTTCATGGGAAACCGGAGATGTTTTTCTGGAGACCTTGAGAAGATAGATTGGATTTTGTGCAGAATTATTGAATAGATCTGTAATTCTCATGTGATGTAGTAAAGCACTCCATGTTGACAGAAGTGTATGTTGATTTTAATATGTTCACCATAAAGACATTTCTATCTGTACACTTTCAGAGGTAAGGCAGTGAAAGAGAGTTAAGTTATGGATGGAAAGAGCCAGATTATTAACACATGCATAGTTTCATGCAAAATACTTGAAATTAAAAGTAAATCAATACAAAAAGCAAGTCATCCATTTGTTTTTAGCTCACCTGAGCCAAAGGCTCACGAGAGCTTTTCTGATCAAAATTTGTCCATTGTCTGTTGATGTTGTCATTGTAGTCATTGTTGCAAACTTTTCACAATTTCATCTTCCAGTGGGCCAATTTCAACCAAACTTGCCATGAAGCATCCAGGAATGAAGGGGATTTAATTTTGTTCAAATGAAGGGCCACGCTCTCTTTCAAGGGTGAGATAATAAAGAAATAGTGAAAATTGGATGGGATCATTTAAAAATCTACTTATCAAAAACCAATGGGCCAAACAAGATGAAAAGATAAAAAAAAAAAGAAACATGTAGAAGGTTTTTGACAGAGTATAGATTCAAATTTTTTTCAAATCATGTCCCCCTCCCATGACGTAGTAAAGGGCCATGACAGGGGATCAGTGTTTTACAAGGAAATGTATAAATTAAGAAAAAAAGTTTTAAATCTTCTTTTCAAGAACTGTTGGGTCGTGATTTGTGATAATAATATGCAAGCAATTTTGTTCAAGTTTGTTGAAATTTCTCCCCCTCCCCCCTCCTCATTTAATTTTTTCTTCAAATAATAGGTCCTGGGCGGAGAGTTAGGCTAAAACCAGGGAGCAGTTTTTCACCAAGTGCATGTTTACTTCTTCTTCAGAACAGAAAGGCCATGTTAATTAGGTATAATGATATTGAAGATATTGAAGCATCCACAGGGTGTGTTGATTCAAGTAAGCAGGCCATGTTAATTAGGTATAATGATATTGAAGATATTGAAGCATCCACAGGGTGTGTTGATTCAAGTAAGCCTATGTTATGATGCTTTGGGGCTAGGGTCGAGCCACACAATATGGAGAAGGAATTTTTCATATGAATAAAGGTGCAAATTTATTCTGTAATCTTTTGATGACAAACAAGATGTCCAGGAAAGGTGAGTGTTGTGGTCCATGGACCTTGTGTCTCAACTATCTTAGCCCTGACAATATTAAGAACTTGTTTCTGGCTCACTTAAGTCAAATTCTCTAGTCAGATTTTCTGATGTATCATATTGACCATCATTTAAAAAATATTGATTCACATGAAATTGCTGTTTATACTTCCACTGAAGGAGTGCAATGTGTTTGGAGTATGTAGTCTGGAAAATTTCACTTCATCAATAAGGTGCAATGAATTTCATGCAAAGTAAATTTGATTTTTAGTTCTCATAAGGTGTATAAGAATTTAGATTCAAAGTTGATAAAAAAGATGATCTCATCATGTGCAAAATAGAATCAGTTGAGCACCATGTGGCTTATGGGATATTTGTTTTGATGTTGGTTTATTTACTTCTCATATGCTATGCATTTTGTTTTAAAATTGCTTCACGTAATTATTATAGAGGTTTTGCATAAACATCTTTAATTTCCTTTTTGTTATGTTCAGCAGCTCTAAAAGATTCCAAACTCAGAGTAAAAATTTTAACAAGCACCTGAAACTCGGTAAATAATTGATAACCTGTGATTTTTGCATTATGTCATGCATTACTTTTTACTCAGGTCTCAAATTAGTATATTGACATAAACAGTTAAAAATACTGATAGCATGAATTTGAAAAGGGATAATGCTAAATCTTACTTCACCCATATATTGTGGCTTGAGTGAAAATTTTGGCAAGAAAATCAGTTGAATATTGGAAATTGAACTTATTGAATGGTTGCCCACTTCTGCAGGGCCAGAATATGTGATGATCGACATAGAATGAGGCACCAGCATAATTTCTCATACAGTCTGGTTTAGACAAACATGTTAAAATAAATGTTCTGCAGTATTTCCTTGAAGGTTATAGAACCTCAGTAGAATTTAACTTTATTTTCAGGTGTAGGAGCTCTGATTGAACCAAACCTACTTAGGATGAAGAATTCCATTTTAGGACAATCAGCTCCTTCTCTCACTGCAGGCCTGGTAAGTTATTTATCATCGTCATCATCATCATCTAGAACATCATCTTTGTCATCAATTTGTGCAATGGAGAGTTTGTTATGATTATGATTATTAATTTGTATTCCTGGTAGGAATATTAATAAGATTTGAAGTAATTAGTAATTATATGTTTAGATCCATTTCTCATATCTTGTATCAACATGCTAAAAGATAGCTTTCCTCTGATGATGTGGTTGGTATGGGGATGCCCTCAAAGTTAAGAGACTGACCATACATCATGTAGGAAGTTATCTGATAATCGTTCACAGTCAGAGTGAGTAGAACTCAGATATAACTGACCTCTACCTCCTCTCTGTGCTGCCTACTCTTGACCAAGTGAATTGTATTCACCTACACCTTTCTTTTTTGCTGCTATTTTTTCTGATGGAGTAAAGGTCACTAGGCATAGAAGAAAACACTGTTCACAATGGGTATTCTGGAGGCATTGTCCAGTGAAATGTTTAGGAATTAATGAAGCAGTGAATGTGTTTTCTTCTTTTCTGGAATGTACATGCACATGCCCTGTTGAGGAATGTATAAATTCTAGGATGTCTTACAAGAATAATTATATTTTTCAAAATGTCAGTCCATGGAAACATTTGGTTCCTGAGGAACAGGTATCAGTATTCATAAAGTTGCATCTAAATCATGGCAGGTGTTTAAAATAATTTAGGAATTCATGGTTTTATATTGAAAAGTTCCATTTTTTTTTCAGGACTATGTATGACTTATTTCAGAAGTTAAAATTGTTCAAAGAAATTAACTTGCTTTATACTCAAGAACAACTTAATGATTTTATTCCTTTATTTTCCTTTTAGAAGGATCCAGGTTTTGGAAGAAGAGCAAGGTAATTACTGTTGTATTTGTTATAATACCAGCTGATAACACAACAGATTTCTGTTATAATACCAGCTGATAACACAACAGATTTCTGTTATAATACCAGCCAATAACACAACAGATTTCTGTTATAATACCAGCTAATAACACAACAGATTTCTGTTATAATACTAGCCAATAACACAACAGTTTACAAAGCTACAGTGCTATGACAAAAGTATTAATTAAAACAAAAAGTTCCATCTCTGTAAAACAGAATGTTATACAATCACACACCATAATCGGAACCCTTCTCTGAAAATGGGGGCACCTGCACATGGGAGAGGTACAATTCTTTTGATGTCCTCCTCACTTATACTCTGCAATTTTTACCCAAATATATTTGATTTTCATCAGGGAAGATATCGGTGTTCCAATGATTATCAGTATTATCCTTTGTTAATTTAAAGTTGACTGAAAATATGCCTTTTTCTTATGACATGCGTCACTACCAAATGTTTTCCTACCACTTGCCTTTTCACACCTTTTCATACAAAAATTTTTGCACTGTCTGTGGATGTACCTAATTGTTTAGGTCTCTGCTTTTGTTAAAGTCATTATGTCATTTAAATGCGCCTTCATGAGGATCCAGTCCATTCAGATCCGACTGCGCAATGTTGAATGGAAGCCCTACTTCTTTTTGCTTATTTAAATCTCTACCGTGGATAAATATTTACTCTACAATGATCTGATGATAGATACAGATATTCCTAATAAAAATTCAATTTGAGATGTTTTCTGACCAACTAACTTCATTTCAACAAACATTATCTGTAAATCATTTCTTATTTCTTTGGATTTTTGACCCATAATGAATGACTGGCTTGTTTACAATTCTATCAGAATGATGGCGACAGAAATTTATTAATTACGTCATTTTCTACAGGAAGATAACTCTGCCAAAATTTCAGTGGTTAACTTGATGTGTATCAGAAGTTTATTTTCCTTTTTAAGAACTAGGTGCATAGCGGAAACATTGCCAAATACTTTTGTCATAGCGTTTTATGTTGTGTCTTATTAAGATACAATAGGCAGACGTTTGCTGAAGCGAATAATCCGTATGGTATTTATCACAAATAATATTAAGTATTTGTAACTTCTTATAATTTAATAAATTTAGTCTTTTTGTATCTTTGCTGCCCTTGTCCTAAATATTTTTCATACTTGTAATGTTTTAATGGTTATGTGCTACTTATATATTGCTAAAGTTTAAAGTTATGTCCATGATCCAGTTCATAGAACACTGACAATGATGGGTGTTTTAAATGAGTACAAACTGGTACACATATGATACAAATTGATGTATTATAGATGTTAAGCAAGATGATATTGTAACATTATATCAGTAGTGCTTGTAATAGTGTCTATGAATATACAAGTAAATGATGATGCATGTATTAAGTAAACTCCATTGGCTTTCATGTGTCACTTTATCTGTAAGTATACATACTGCAGACAAGACCGTGACTTTAGATTTTTGCTAATGAAGTAAAAATATTGCCACACTTAGTTTATTGTGACCTGACCAGTGAGGTCTGTGGTTTAAGTCTGCAGATTCATTAAATTCATTAATCAGTGCAGTATGAATGATGTTAACGTACACTGTAAATTTCTTCTTTGGCAGTATTTTTATGTAAGGAGTTCATTGAAAGGAGGTGACCAGACAAATTATAGTTATACTAAGATCATTAAGCATTGGCTTGTGCAAAAATATGTCTCTTTAGAGAAACACAAGAATTTTATTAATGGGGTTTCCATCACTGTCTAGACTTAGTGCTAAAAGTATTATAGAATTATAAAGTGGATTTAGAATTCTTAGGGGGAAAAATGTATACACTTTGTATGCTAGGAATTATGCCATGAGGAATATTGAAAAAAAAGAAAAGAAATTGATATATACAGAAGAAAGATCAAACTGAGATAAAGGAGTGAAAACAGCAATTACTTCTATGTTATAGTACATTATTATTTTTTTTTTCAGTCGAGTTCGTAAATCCATTGTCGGTCCAAATACATCCCCAATTCTTCCACAAAGATGCCCCTCGCCTCAACTGCATGGTAAGTTAAATTCTAACTTTGAAGTTTGCTGAAAATTTTTTTTTAATATAGGATTTGAACCAAAGGCTGTAGATTATTATTTATTCTCCACTAATTTATATGAATAAGCTGACATACGAGGGTTGTTTGGAAATTATTGAGACATTTACTCCATAAAAGAAAGATAGCTTCATGAAAATTTGTCAACGTCTTATCAAGAACAAATAAAAACAAAATGTGCAAAATTTCCAATTAATTGGATCAATAGATAAGTCCCGTTCAAATTATAAAAAGGTTCATTGACCTGGAGAGCATTGCTATATCATTTAAACATCATGTCAACCGTAGATTTTCCTCGCTAAAAGATTCATTAGCTTCTACTCTTCTTTTTCTGTTTTCACTTATATTCTAGAAATCAAAACCCAAACTTGCTCTTTTCTTAAACATTTCTTTGAAAAATAATATTTAAGCTGTTGCTACTCCAATGAAAAATTTGCACAGTTTGACAGCATCATGCAGTGTCAACTTTTCCATCGCAGGTCAACATTATTTAGTTCCTAATAATTGATGGTCATATGGTGCCTTTGTTTTCACTCTGGTTGAAAAATTTGTAAGAAAAAAAGTTATACCAATAAAAAAAAAACAAACCCATAGACCTAATTTTAGCTCATCTGAACCTTTGAGCTAAGGCTCAACTGAGCTTTTCTGATCTAAATTTGTTGTCATAAACTTTTCACATTTCACAGACCTGCCTATACCCTTCCGCTTTTGGCGTAATTCTTCCGCTTTTTACCACGAAATTATGCTGTTATGCCATGAAATTTACTTTTATGCTTTTAAATATTTTTCCTAGACAACTTAATTAAAGGCTAACTTGGGAGTTAAAGTAAAGGCTTTCCTAAATAAAAACGAGAAGGTAATTCATATTAATTAATAGAGGGTTTCGGTTCTTCACGATATGATTGTTTACGTTGCAAACAACGTACGTAATATACTTTGTAGTTATGCTTTTTAAATGGGTGGCGTGCCAAAATGAATAAAAAAAACTTTTGAATGAAATGTGCAATAAGTAAAGTGAGGTTAATTTTCAATTCCGTTTTTTCTTACATTGCATAGAACAACATAGAGACAATTAAATGTAAGGAGAACAGAAACAAAACAGCGCAATGTAGAATTAGTATTAACATGCAAATGAAACTTTGAATTATGTGATTTTCGATAAATTTTCCAAAAGTTCATTAGGCATGTAAGTTTAATATGTTTGATATGACTGCATTTAGGATACCAGTTTTACAATACATGGCCTTTTTGTCAATAAATGATTTGAAAACGGAACATTCATGCTTGATTTCTTCAATGATGTACAATTACAGGTTTATTAAGACAATATAGTATCATTGCAAAACATCAAACTAAGGAAGCATAAAGGATTACGCCTTAATCTCTTAAATTCCGCCAAAATGAGTATTGAAATTACACCCTCGCAATGAAAAGGGTAGACAGGTCTGATTTCAGCTTCTTCTCCAGATCCACTGGACCAATTTCAACCAAACTTGGCACAGAGTATCCTTGCATAAAGGGGATTCAAGTTTATTCAAATGAAGAGCCACACTCTCTTCCAAGGGGAGATAATAATTAATAAATAGTAAAAATTGGGTGGGGTAATTTAAAAATCTTCTTCTTAAGATCTCGAGCCACTGGGCCAGAAAAGATGAAACGTATGTGAAAGCTTTCTAGGGTAGTGTAGATTCAGGTTTGTTTAAATCATGGCCCCCCAGGGTAGAGTGGGGCAATATGGGCGATCAAAGTTTTACAAAGGAATATATAGGAAAAATCTTTAAAAATTTTCTTCACAAGAACAGCAAAGTCATGATGACATACATATTTGTATGGAAGCATCCTCAGGTAGTGTAGACTGAAGTTTGTTCAAATCATGACCCCTGGAGGTAGGGTAGGGCCATGATGGGCAATCAAGTTTTAAATAGGAATATATAGGAAAAATCATTTTTTAGGGAACGGCAAAGTCATGATTAGTCATATTTATATGAAAAGCATCCTCAGATTCAAGTGTGTTCTAATCATGACACTTGGGGTAGGGTGGAGCCACAATATATTATCTTAAATTACATGGGGAATATATAGGGAGAAAATCTGATGAAGAACAGAATTTAAGGGCCATAGTTATTCAGATGAGCATTGTGACCAATGGGCCTCTTGTGTTTATGCAGTTTGTTTAGTCTGGACAGGAGATCCCAAAACGCTACAAAAAATTTTAGGTATGCTTGCAGCATTGATGTCAAAATTCATTTTGCCGTTATTATTTGATTTCTTTACCATGAAAAAAATTATTTATTATCTGGTCTTAATGCTATCAAACCCGCATAAAATGAAGTCAATAATAAAATAATTATATGAATAATTTTCCCACTTCCTGCGGGTTCATTGGAACTTCGTTCTTAGTAGTTTCAATTTTCATTATCTGCATTTCGTGACTGCGCCGGGTTACCCTACCATCAACACATTGATATATCATAGAAAAGAAAAAAATAAAAAAAATTTTACTTTACTTTATTTATTGTTACATGTAGTGTTTGTTAAAGGTAGTGTTTGTTAAAGGTAGTGTTTGTTAAAAGTAGTGAGCCATTTTTCACCAAAAGATGTTCATTAGATAGGAGAATAAACACAATGTCTCGATAATTTCTACACAACCCTCATATGTTGCAGTCATCTGTAATTGGTTAGAGTGGATGAAAAGTGTGGTGTGCTTGTGGACAAGAAAGGAACATGATTTGCATAAATAAATTTCAATAACTAGAGGATGCAGAGCCAAAAACTTAAAAGTACACTTGAATTCTAACAAAGTATCAAATATGTGGGGGATATTCTGCATTTTTCTTTGACCATATGCTTCCTAGATCTACTGGTATATATAAATCTTGGTATCTGAGAAAAGGTATACATGCAGAAAAAGTGCATACTTCTGAAAGAAGTTTTGACATGATATCCCCATAATAATTAAACCTAAATGTATGCAGTATTTATCTTGCCATTGTTTACATGTTCAGACATTCTTAGAAGAAACTAAAGGTTAATGTATGCTATGTAAAAAATTTCTGAAATTAAGTAGTGACAAATTATGTATTCCAAGGATTTCGTGACTTGTTTCAGTTTGAAGTTGTAATTTTTAGTCTGTAAACCACATAAGGAAGAAAAAATTATTTTGTGTGCAAATAAGCCTTGAAATGATGATAGTTTTGTGAAATTATGCTATGCAATCATTAAAAATTTCCTTCAATAATTCAAACTTTTGGACCATAAATAAAAGCCAGATATTTATTGACCATTGTGAATGTCAAGTTTTCTAGGTTTTCATTATTGCACCTAGTTAAAACTTTTATAAAAGGCAATTGTTATACCTTTAAATTAGTTCCTATATAAATCTATACTAAAAAAAGTCTAACATTTCTAATGTTTTACTGAGCGGTCATAAAAAAATCGATGTTTGACCACAGAGTGAGATATTGGACCTGTGGATGAGATATTGGACCGCTTACGTCACACTGTGGACGGGATCAGCTAAATCTTATTTGCATTCGTTGGTATGGAAGCCAGCAAAAGATACATGTATAACAAAAAAAAAAATTAATAAATAAAAGTTATAAAGGCCTCAGGCAAACACTTTGGTTCTTGGGTCTGACAAAACGCATGTTGTCTTCGAACTCAGTCAATAAATGTATATAAATGTTTGCTTTATATGCTGAAACAGTTGTTTATCCTTGATATCTTATTATATGATAAAGCATTTAAGATTGATAAACATGAAGGAGTAGATGAGACTTCCGATTTCTTCAGTCATGCTATAGGGCCATAAGGTGATAGCTAGTCTGACGTAGATGGAAGACACACATTGCAGCGATGTTAGCATCTTATGAATGTGATATATTGAGATATATGGGATGACGGTCTTAATTGCCAATTAGTTTGTACAAGACTTGATTCCATTCTCCTACTTGTTTACTTTGCAGTGCTTGTTGAAGCATTACATGTAGAATGCCTGTCTATGAATAAAAAAAAATGTTGATTTCAGGGTTAATGTATTATTTATAACTGTTCTGGATTTAAACAAGCTTCTGTAATGAAATTGCTGTTATGAATACAAAAAATGCTATAATTATTAAAGATATCAAGTTTAATAAATTGATTCCTGCATGGTGCTTGTATATGAATCCTTGAAAGAGTATAGGATCATGTTTGTTAACAGTAAAGGAAAGTCATTGTGCATTTCATCAAACTTTATTTGATGTGGGGGAAATGTTAGTCTTCCTTATACTAACAAAATGAAAAATTCTATTTATCATAATGGAATATTGAGGAAAAGGAACCAAGATAAAGGATTTTGAAATACTATTTCCCTATCACATTGTAACAGTTAATACATTAGATACCATATTAAAGTGTCCCTCTGTATCGTGTGGTTTATTGATGTAGTTCACTACATTGTGCCTGTAAGTCCTGAACTGAGGATGAAAGTTATATGTGGTATATCCTGAGAAAGACTGAAGTTAATTGACATAGGAGTCAGTAATTAATTATATTGTTGTCGTAGTCCTGTTTCTCTGAGGCTAAAGTTACACTAGAACAGGAAAAACGTTTGTCACAACATGCAAGTACAAAAGTGGGGGGAAAAAGTTGTGTGTATTGATAATGTTAGATAATATCCTGCTAGAAAATTGTCACAAATGTAAATTATAACAGTTTAGACTGTGTCTGCCTGCATGGGTTGTGGCCTTGGGGGATTTCATTAACTAAGGATATATTGAAATTGTTCGATGCAATGGTTTTTATATTCATGAGGAATTCAATTTTCTAAATTCAGCACATGCACTTGATCATCCAGTTTTGAAGTACATAAACGTCACCAGAAATTATGAATGGAATTAATTAGAAATTCAGACTTGTGGTTGCTGTAAGCGTGTCTTTTTTGTGGGTCCTTGTGGTACGTCATAATCGTAAGTGTAACT